CCCCAAAACCCCAAAACCCCAAAACCCCAAAACCCCGAAGTATAAAATCTGAATTGAGTTAGGAACTTAATAAAATATTTACTCTAATAAGATGTTTGATCCAAAACATGTATGTGACGAAAACTTATCAGATGAGCTCTTGAGTGAAGATGTCTCTTCTTCTAAAGTTAAAATCTCTGACAAAATCATTGTAAACATGGAGAGAAAGTCGATTAGCTGGAGGAAAGGAGATACTGAGAGAAAGCTCAGCAACTGCTCATTAGAGTCTAAGCCAAATACTTCTGCTTCTTTTCTTACAATTTTTGAATCAAAAACTGATAAAAGAGAGAGATTTACCATCGACGATAAACCTCACGAATCTTTAGATTTTACTATCCTTGAAGATAAAAAGCATAATACAAACCTTCTTAAGCCTCAACGTTCTCTAAAGAAGGATATAAGTCACTTGCTCAGACTTGCAGCTGCTATCAGAAAGGAAAAGGAGAATCTAAACATCAAAGAGAATATAAAGATGGAGCACATTCCTTCTTCTGAAGACTTCTCCTGATGTAGGACTATAACAATGAAGGATCTTAATCCGTATGCTTCATGGTGTCATAATTAATTTATCTAAATAAAGTTCTATCTACACTTCTCTGAGAGGGTTCGTCACATTACTAACTTTATGGTTTTTCTGATATTTCTGGAAATTTAGTTGATGGTTAAAGATATTCATAAGTTTTAATCAAGTTTTGTGAACTGTAAGCCTGACGAAAAATGAACAGCACCAGGACAAGCTTTCTTAGCTTTCTAATGACTACTTGTTCCAATAATTCTCAATATCTCTACATAAAATTTAATACATTTAATAAGTGATTCCGAAAGCTAAATTTTAATAACGCTTCTTAAAATTTCTCGAGAAAAATGGAATTCCTAAGGTTTAATACTAGCATCAAAATCACCTTAGAGTGAATTCTAATGCTTCTCATATTTCTTTAATAATTATTGTGATGAAGCTCGAGGGAAATATTGAGAATTTGTACTGAAACCTTCAAAATTACAAACCTCAAAACATCAGCGTATCTTTATGATCGCAGTTGCAAAGTGTATACACGTTGGTAGTATTTCCAACTATTTTTAAGAAATCTAAAAATGTTGCGAATAACTTTGACAACAGAGCTATTAATTTCAGGTTTGGTCAGAATCCCAAAACTCTATTCCAAAATAGGTTTACCTACTCATTCAGAGTATCATGAAGTCAGTTTTTCTCTATTTCACAATTTTGTAGGCTTAACAATAACTTTCGATATTTTCTCGAATTTTACGGGCGTTTTGGATAGTTTTGATAATAGGAAATATTACAAAAGATATTAAATGTCGCTAAGTCAGGCTTAATGCTTACTATGAAATATAAAGAGGCTAGCTTCAGTCAATTCAGAATTCCTTCGAGTTATTTTTTTTATCAGAGACAAAATAATTCTTCTCAGAAGGAGTTGAGGAATCAGAGGAGTATAACTCTCAGGTTTATGGAAGTGTAGGGGAATCAATAGATTATGGGAAGCATCATGTAATGATAGATACATTCTTCAACACTAAATCTCTCCAATTTCTTATTTTATATCTATTGACCAAAAGCCAGGTTGATAAAAACCACAGTTTAATTTTAAAGGGATACTAAAATCGTGAAAAGAGTCTTCAAAATGGCCCAAACATTTCAAGACAAATTTGACCGACAACATAGGGCTTTAGTATTGATAATTTTTTAAGAAGCTCATGGTTTATATAAATAAATGACAAAGTTTATTCTGCTTCATTAATCATCATTACCGTAAGTTAGACCTCCAATCAGCCAGATTTTAGTACTTACCCTCTTCTTCTAAGTAAAAGACGGCTTCTCGTTATGATTACAGCTGGTCTTATCGAAAATTTGTTGAAATTGGTTATTATTCTGCTCCTGAAAGTGAGATTGTAATTCCATTTTATTATATAACCTCATCTTCGAATCTTCATAAAAAGTTTAGGGGTTTTGGGGTTTTGGGGTTTTGGGGTTTTGGGG